AATATGGTGAAACCCCGTGGCTCTACTGAAAATACAAAAAATTAACCAAGTCAGGCATGGTGGCGGCCGCCTGTAATCCCAGCCACTTGGGAGGCTGACGCAGGAGAATCGCTTGAAGGAGGCAGAGATTGTAGTGAGCTGAGATCGCGCCATTGTACTCCAGCCTGGGCAACAAGAGTGAAACTTCGTCTTAAAAAAAAAAAAAAAATGGAGTCTCTCACCTTTTGATGAACATACACACATACATGCATGCGTGCACAGAAACTGGTTCATTATTTTGAGCTCCAGTCTTTTCTGCATTTTGCTATAACTTGGGACAGGTTTCGGAGATTCCAGGCCCACACCATCCTCTCTTGCACACACCTTTCTTGTCAGAAGGGGTCTGTACAACAACTTACTGGCAGAGTTTAGTGGCAGAAATGGAACACAGAAACGGAAACTTTCTGCTTCTCCCTTCCCTCTAGACTGTGGGCACCTCAAGGCCAAGGTAATCCTAACCAGCATTGTGTTCTCAGCACCTGCAGAGTGCCTGGCATAGGGAGCTTCTTAATCAATACCTTTGCACAGACAGAGCAGCCTTGGGTTGAAAATTCCAATTCGATGAGCTTACGCACCATACATTAGAATGGAGGCTGTGCTATGTGGGACTCATGAGGACTCTGGAGCGATAGGGCTGGATGGCTTGTCTGGGGCTCCAGGGAACTGAAACATTTGCTACAGTGTCTCCAGCAGGTAGTCAAGAAAACAGTCAAAGGACTCAAAGGCAGGCTGTTGAGCCTGCTTTATTGTTAAGGAACATCTCACCTGTTTTCCAAGTTCCACTTAAGAGACCTCAGTTTATATATTTAGTAGAAATAAATGACCTTGGCTCATTTGACTAACTGGTAACCCTACTGGGAAACCTTCAGCAATGACTGGACGTTTGCAAACAAAGCTGGCCACAGAGCCTCAGCCCCTGAGGGGTTCCTTGCTGGTGTTAGTGGGGGTGGAGGCCATGCAGGAGCAGGACACCCTGCTGCTCCCAGCCATACTGCATGCAGCACCGGGGTTTGGAATCTTCATCTGAAGCCTTGATGAATAGCCGTTTTGGAGAAAACTCTAACTAGAATGGCCTCATTCCGATCCCTTTTCACCCCAGAGGCTGTGGAGCTTCTGAAAGTCAGGGTCGGAGTACCGGGTCTCAGGCCCTCTCTGCATCAGCTCTTCCCAATGCCCAGGGTCTCTGCAAGGGCTGGCCCACTTGCCAGAGTTGCAGACCAGGTCCTGGGCTGGCTGTGAGGGTCCTCAGGATGGGCCCAGTAGATTAGCCCCAAGCAGCTACCCTAAGACAATTCTCCTTTTCACTCTCTGTCTCCATAGTGGGTTACTCCCTATGAAAATTTTAGATTGTCCAAATATGCTTGTATCTAGACAGACCTATTGATAAATCTAACTCATCAGTAAATCCTTTCAGGTGGGCCTCCGAAATAAATCCAGCATTGGTGAAATTGGTATATTTTCTTGTACACTCTCTCTGAAAGCTGTTGGCATCACACGTGGAAGCCTCTGAGTGGCCTGGGAAAGCCATGACAGTTTTAGCATATTGCACCTTTTTCCTGGGGAACTGTCTGTATGTCTTAATAGTAGTTTCTAGTCTGTTTGTCATAAGTGAGTTAACTTGGGCAACTCTCTGTGCACGGGGACTCTTCAATTGCGCTTAAATAAATGTAATCTATTGTTGTTACTGTGACGCTACAGCATGGCTTAGAAAATGGGTTGAATAAGGAGGTGTTCAGACACTGCTTGCTCTGTGATGAATATAATAGCTACGAGTTATTCAACGCCCGTGTCAGAGTTCAGAGTCTGAACTCTGTGCTTTTGTAGATGTTTCCATACATCATTCAGTCTTTACAGGGACACCAGGGGATATGTGTTGTCTTCCTCGTCACACAGAGGGGAAACAGGAGCTCAGGAAGGTTGGGTGTCTTGAGCACAGTCACACAGCCGGGTCGTGGTAGAGCCTGGTTAGAAACAGGACTGTCTCATTCTAGAGCTTTTCTTTCATGCAGCCCTGCCAGGGAAAGGGTATTGGGTGACATTTCTTCAGTTTGAATAAGTAAAAGCTGCTACCTTAATATTTTAACATGTTTCTTACCAAACATAACATCAAAATTAGGCATATTGATGACATCCAAAATTTTAAGGCTGAAAGATGGATTAAGTCAGTATAAAGAAAGTTATTTCTCTTCTGTTCCTTTTGATCATCAAAAACACCTGTAATCCCAGCACTTTAGGAGGCTGAGGCAGGCGGATCACCTGAGGTCAGGAGTTAGAGACTAGCCTGGCCAACATGGTAAAACCCCATCTCTACAAAAAATACTGAAATTAGCCACGTGTGGTGGCAGGCACCTGTAATACCAGCTACTCAGGAAGCTGAGACAGGAGAATCACTTGAACCCCGGGAGGCTGAGGTTGCAGTGAGCCAAGATTGTACCATTGCACTCTAGCCTGGGTGACAAGAGCAAAACTCCGTCTGAAAAGAAAACAAATAAACAAACAAAAAAAACAACAAAAAAGCCAAAACTGTTTCTGACCCAGACAGAACCTCAGTTATGTTCCCAGAGCAGATGGTGAAAGCACGCTGATGTCAACCCCTTCTTAAAAATGACATTGTTACAGGAATACTGTGAAACACGCTTATAATAAAAACCTGGAAAATCTAACAAAATAAAAATCACTTATAAATGACTGTCCAGCAACAACTACTGTTATTTTTCTCTGCTTTACTTTTTTTCATAAAGTTATAATCATGCTATAGACTCACCTTTGTTCCAGATCTTTTAAAAATTTAGTATTTTACAATAAACGATTGCCTAGCCATTACACACTCATAGAAAGCAAGTTTTAGTGGCTCTAAATCAGGGGTTTGCAAATGTTATCTGGAATGGGCCAGAGAACGAATAGTTTAGGCTCTGTGGATCAGAGCGTGTCTGTCACAAAACACTCCTGTGTGTAGCGTGAAGGCAGCTGCACACAAGAGGCACATGAGCAAGAGGCTGTGTGGCCACAGGACGTCACTTACAGAAGCAGCAGAGGAGCAAGCTTGTCCCAAGGGCAGCTGCTTGCTGACTCCTGTAGTGTTGTACAAGATGCGGTACACACCATAATCCACGGGACGCATCTACTGTGGGGCATCTAAACAGTTTTTAGTGATCTAACAGGGATGGAAATAGAGACTCCCGTCCCCGGTGACCATCTGTGGGTCTAGATACCCGCATCACTGTCAAAGTTATCGTTTCCATTTAGCAGCAGGTCATCAGAGGCCAACCACTAGGACCCACTATAGCATTGTGGGCAGGAAATACCCCTGAGAGTGCTTTTCCCCGGCAGAGGCCATGATTGGCTGCAAGGGACCACTCACCTTCCCAGGGCCAACAGCTGCTGCTTTAGTCTGCGGCCCCCTCCTGGCTGCAGAACCAGTCGTCGTTCACAGCTCGTTCAGAGTGTCGCATGTTTGGAATGAGTTCAGGTAAATATAATTTTAAAAAATATCATGGGCACAGCACACGTAAGCCCTCACACCCGCACCGGCGAGTTCAGCCACCCACCCACGGGGATGGTCCCGGAGTCCGATTTCATGGCTAAGTTCTCTTGGACAGAATCTGCATGTTGGACTTGTGTGAAAAACCAACTCCATCAGAAAATGGAGATGCTAAACTTGCAAGGTATCTGCCTTTTCTACTCCAAGCGAGGGAAGAAGTGTCTTGTGTTTTTAAAGTAGGGAGCAGTTGGCTGTTTAGACCTTCTTCTGTTCTGCCAGTAGGCTGGGGGACACGGCTTACTGACCCCGTGCCGAGCTGGAGCTGTGGAGAGGCATGGGTGTAATGGGGAGTAGAGGAGAGAGGGCTGTGTTGAAGCCGGGGCTCTCCGTGCTGTGGGCATCCTAGATTTTGGGCTGCCCTGATGGCTCACATCCCTGGCTCAGTCATCGACCCATTGATCAAGGAGCATCTTGGCCAGTTCCAAAATTAAGTTGAAAAGATAAACATCCATCAGATAAAAAGCAGTTTTTGTGTCTCCGCTGCCCCATCCACCCCACTGAAGCCCTGGTCTTCCTCAGTGTAGGGGTCTGATGTAGTGGACGCCTGGCTGGGGAGGGCCACACCAAGCCCTGGGGACCCAGGACTGCCCTGAGAATCCTCGGAGGGGACCTGTTGGGGCCTCGCTCGCGCACCTGCGTCAGCCTCAAGAGGGTCTCTGGCAGGTGCTTCTGCCCCGTCTCAGCCTCAAGGACATGCTGGCAGCGGGTGTGGAGGGCACCGAGCACATCTCCTGGTCTGGGTTTTACTTCCAGCTCGGACCAGCTGTGCCCGGAGATCCCACTGGGCCCCGCAGCCTGCTCTATGAGCGGAGACTCCCGTTTGCCGCAACTGCAGAGCTCGGCAGAGTAGGTCGAGCTGTCTCGGAAAAATCGGATTCAAATGAATCTTTGACCAGCAACTGTTCAAGAAGGATGTTAACCTCACGCCCAGGAATGCTACATTTTCTAGCATTTGACATTTTCGGCGATCAAGAATTACTATATTTTGTAATATCACAAAACTCAATGAGATCTGTAGAAAAGAGGTACATAAATTAGTGTCACACAGCTGCACGGCAGGCTTAGCGAGTGCATGGTGGTGATCACCTAGAAACCCTCTGGATAGTGGTGGGAGCATTGTCAGGACCCTGAATATCCATGACTGCTTGCTGCTGCCTTCTTGACTCCTGCCGTCCACGCTGAGAACCAGGGTCCCCTTGCCTCCTGCCCCCACACTGGCAGGGTGAGCACAACCTGGACCTCTAGCTGAAGGGTGGGGAGGGCATCAGGGTCCATGGCCTCGACAACATGTGTTCTGGGACTGGCCCGAGGCGTCTGGTGTGAATGTCCCCTCCTCTTTTTCTACTTCAGTCTCCAACAGCCCCGGGAGGTGGCTGTGATGTCTCCTTCATGGGCACCTGGGCTCCTTCCTCTGTTTCAGGGCTCCAAGGTCCTGGCCAAGAAAGAGCTGGCCTACGTTCCAATTATCGGCTGGATGTGGTACTTCACCGAGATGGTCTTCTGTTCGCGCAAGTGGGAGCAGGATCGCAAGACGGTTGCCACCAGTTTGCAGCACCTCCGGGACTACCCTGAGAAATATTTTGTACGTAGGCAACCAGAGCAGCTGTGTCCCAAGGGCTCCTGCAGGACTGTGACCGTGGGACCCCCGTGTGACTTCCACAGGACACGTGACTGTGGGGCTGTGTGTGACCCCAGGGCTATATGTGACCATGGGGCTGTGTGTGACCACAGGGCCGTGTGTGACCCCAGGGCCGTGTGTGACCGTAGGGCTGTGTGTGACCCCAGGGCTATGTGTGGCCGTAGGGCTGTGTGTGACCCCAGGGCTGTGTGTGGCCGTAGGGCTGTGTGTGACCCCAGGGCTGTGTGTGACCCCAGGGCTGTGTGTGACCCCAGGGCTGTGTGTGGCCGTAGGATTGTGTGTGACCCCAGGGCTGTGTGTGACCCCAGGGCTGTGTGTGACCTCAGGGCTGTGTGTGACCCCAGGACTGTGTGTGACCCCGGGACTGTGTGTGACCCCAGGGCTGTGTGTGACCCCAGGGCTGTATGTGACCCTGGGGCCGTGTGTGATCGTGTGGCTGTGTGTGACTGTAGGGCCGCATGTGAGCCTGGGGCTGTGCATGACCCCAGGACTGTGTGTGACCCTGGGGCCGCGTGTGACTGTGGGGCTGTGTGTGACTCCTGCCTCCTTCCTTCAGTTCCTGATCCACTGTGAGGGCACGCGGTTCACGGAGAAGAAACATGAGATCAGCATGCAAGTGGCCCGGGCCAAGGGGCTGCCTCGCCTCAAGCACCACCTGTTGCCGCGAACCAAGGGCTTCGCCATCACCGTGAGGAGCTTGAGAAATGTAGGTAAGGAAGAGTGCGTGGCCCTGGGCCTCCCTGCGGCAGCGAGGAAGACAAGCGCCAGCTCCGGATGGGCAGAGCTTGCTTCCTGCCAGCACTTCCCGGCTGACACTAGGAGCTCAGAGTGGCTGCTCAAGTCTGGTCTCTGGGACTGGGAACCAAGGACAAATGGCACCTGCACCCCTGGCTGGCACCTGGGGTGGGCCTGTGCCTGCCTTTCCTGGGGTGCCCGGGCCAGCACTGCCCTCTGCTGTGCAAATGTGCTGGGTGCCTGGATGGCCCATTGGGTAACCTGGGTCCAGGCCTGCACGCCCAAGACAGTACAGTTGGGTTTAGGGTCATTTCTTGCCCACCCATTGGCATCAGCTGAACTCTGACCTTGTGGTCTGTCGCAGCTGACCTCGGAGTCTGGAACCCTAAATGGCCATTGATAAGAAGGAAATAGCAACAACTTGCCTCTGGCCTCTCGTCATGCTTTTGTCTTCTTTTTGACCCTTCTGTCTCCAGTTAGAAACACCCTCTGTCGCCTTCTGCGCAGCCGGCCTCCCCACACCCCCGCAGTCCCTTGGCCCTTTCCCTGGGCTGCAGGCCCGGGGGCAGCTTCCTGTGCTCCTTCCCAGGCAAAGCACTCAGGTGAAGCTGGTTCCTTCCTGGAGGGAGCTAGAGCCCAGCCGAATGCGGCTTCCGACCCCACACTGCTGCCTTCCTCCGCCTTATCCTCTTGTCTCCTCTCCTCCTTCTGAGGCAAAGGGAGGGGGGCCCGAATTCCTCCCCGGGCCTGCATCAGGGGCCCCCTGGTTTCTCCAGCCCTGACCTACCCCCTATAGGACCTCTGGAGCAACAGGGTTGGTGAATCGGTACCTCTAAAAGTCCCCAGGTGACCCAGTGGCTGAAGCGGTGGTTTCAGGCCCCGGGCAGCACTCCCTGCTGGCTTCTGCTGCCTGTTTAACATACTCCCGCATACCCAGGCCAGCGCCAGCCCCGCTTCCTTCTGGGGCTGCAGGAACCCAGGCCAGGCGGGCTGTGCCCCTGGCCCCCTCTCCCCTCTGTGTGCCTGCCCTGCCCTTAGCCCTGTTAACCAGTTTCTTCTCCCCCACATTCTTCCCTTGCTTCCTCATCCCCCCTTCTCCTGGTCACCAGCGTTCCTTGATGACCTCTATTGGCACAATGCTGTGCACGCCACACACAGTGTCACCTTCAATCCCCACAACATCCTGGCAGCAGCTCTTACTCCCAGAGAGAAGAGAGAAAAGCAGGCTCTGGAGTCTCAGCAGCAAACTTGGGCCTGCAGAACTGAGGGCCCACCAGGCCACCGCCTCCAAGCTCCTTCCCCTCTGCCCAGCCTCTTAGGAAGGTCGGTGGCACAGAGGGGCACCAGCTGCCTACATGTGTCTTTTGCTTTGGGCTCAGCCCAAGGGTCAGAATTAGGCTGCCCCCTGCAGTCCCTGCCTCCACACCAACCCTGGGCCCCAGGGCCAAGGATGCTCCCACCATTGCTCGACCCCTGCTCCACCTCCCAGGCTGCTGCACTCTGCACTGTCCAGCAGCGCCAAGACCCTGGGGGCTCCCTGATCAGGAGGCCTCACTGAATCCTCTTTCCTGTGCTGACCAGCTAGCTGTGTGACTCTGGGCAAGTGACCTTACCTCTCTGGTCCTAAGTCTGCTCTGAGTTCTGTAAAATCTGTTAGGGTTGCAAAGAGGATTAAATGAAAAAAGCTGGATACAGAGCTCAGCATCCCACCTGGCACATGATAAACATTTGATCAAAGGCTGCTGTTGTTCGGGGCCCTCTGCCTCCCACTACACACCTCACCTTCTGCCCCTGGTGGGGTTGCCCAGCTTGCAGGGCTACGTGTCCCCATCCTGATCCGTCCCCTCTGGGTTGGACCAGCGCGGCTCCCTGACTGAGCTTTGCCTCAGTTTTGCCTCGCAAGGCCATCCAGCTCTATACTGTTCATCACAGAGTTAACAAGGCTCTCTCCAATAATAGCCACCACCGGTCTCGGGCGCATCTGACATGCCAGGCCCTGTACGCACCGTACATGTAGGATGTCCTCACAGGACTCGGGAAGGTAGATTCCTTTTTCTTTTTGCTTCCAGTTCACAGATAAGGACATTGGGGCTCAGAGAAGTTAAGGAGCGGGTGCAGTGTGACTCAGCCAGTACCTGGTGAGCTGGGATTTGCTCCTGGCTGGTGGGGGCCGGCAGTCGCTGCTGTCACTCCTTCCGATGCGCCTTGCAGTTACAATCAGGCTGGCTCTCCTTTCAAGATGCTTTTTTTGAGGTTTTCCTCTGGAAAATGAGACAGTTGTACAGGTCACTGATTTTTAGGCGGCTCTTTGGGGAACCCGGGGGTTCTCCCCTCCTTTGCTTAACCAGAGTCAGCCTCTTCTGTTGTCTTCATGGGCCCCTGTGTGAGCGGGTCGGAGGAAAGGAGGTATCAAAACCACTGAACTATGTGAGCTCTGTGGCCCCTTCTTACTGGGAAGCCCTAGGACACTACAGTCATGGTCCACACAGCCTGATCCGCTGTTCCTGTAGATACCCGTTTATGCTTGAAAATGCCTGAGGAATGTGATAAGCATCCAGGTTCTCTCCCAGCAGCCCTGACCAGGCAGCTCTCCTCAGGAGGGCTCAGGAGAACAGTCCCGCCTTCAGCCCCAAGGCGGGGGCGAGTGGTCTCGGGCACTCCGGGCCCTGCTCCCAGGTCTCCTGCAGGCCATCAGGAGGACCCCTGCCCGCTGGCACAGACAGTGGACCTACAGACCCCGCACGGTGGTCAGGCAGCAGGTAGAAGAAAACAGATGGTGATTTATTGTTTTTGAATCTTGGTTCCGCATATTCCCAATCAGACCAAGTGCCTTTCCTCCTTCCTGCCATTCTCCCACTCCTGTTATTAATGCATGCATGTAAAGCTCCCAGTGAAGTAGCTGGCTCATCGTTTATTGAACACAAACCATGTGCTGGGCCCTGCAGTAAGTGGCCTCTGTCATCTCAGCAACTGTGTGACAGAGGCTCCCTTCTCCAGGCCAAGACCTAGCCCCAGCTGCCCAAGAGAAGATCCCACCAGTGGGAAAAGGTGACAGCCGCTGGAGTTCCCACCTGTTGCTCCTACCGTCTGGTGCTCTTACACTTCAGCAAGTGGCCAGTTTCCACTGTGCATTTATCTCCTCTGTTCCCTCACTCGTTCCTTCCTATATTCTTTCATCCCTTGATCCAAGAAGCTTCAACTGAGTACGATCCAATTCCTTAAGGAGTTTCTCATCAGTATCCTAGGATAATTCGTAGCTGTCTTATTTTTCTAGGGGAAAATAGTGCTCACAGAATGGTTATGCTGCTGTAACTGAGACACTTCCTTAGTTTCCTTTGGAATAATTTTTCTTATCATCCACACTTGTTTAAATTTCGGTGTTTCTTGACGGAAATGATAGGCTGGGCACATTAGAAAGTTACAAGTCATTGTTGTGGCACCTCTAGACCTGACTTTGCAGTACTGCTTTAAAAGTGATCTGGGCTAGGCACAGTGGCTCAATCTGGGCTGGGCACAGTGGCTCACTGTGATCCCAGCATTTTGGGAGGCTGAGGCGGGCAGATCACTTGAGGTCAGGAGTTCAAGACCAGTCTGACCAACATGGTGAAACCCCGTCTCTACTAAAAATACAAAAATTAGCTGAGCGTAGTGGTGGTGCCTGTAACCCCAGCTACTTGGGAGGCTGAGGCAGGAGAATCGTTTGAACCCAGGAGGCAGAGGTTATAGTGAGCCAAGATTGCACCACTGCACTCCAGCCTGGGCAACAGAGTGAGACTCTGTCTCCAAAAAAATAAATAAATAAATAGAAAAAGTGACCTGGCTTCAGCAATGACCCTGTTTTCTATTACTGAGTTCTAGTGGGATTTTATGATTACAAAAGATAATACACATTCAGTGTAGAACATGTGGACCATATAGAAAAAGAAAAATCCGACCACACCATTTCTAGATAAGCAGTTAGCCATTTGATTATTGTCTTCCAATGTGTGTATCTACAGAACAAAATTGGGTTCACACGCTATATACTGCTTTGTATTTGTTTTATTTTTTATAGTTTCAGCTGTATATGACTGTACACTCAATTTCAGAAATAATGAAAATCCAACACTGCTGGGAGTCCTAAACGGAAAGAAATACCATGCAGATTTGTATGTTAGGTAAGTCGAACGGTTTCCTTTCCAGAAAAGACAGTGCCCGTTTCAAAGTAAACACATCACAAATGACCTAGAGACTTTCTTCCAGGGATCCCTGGGTCACACTGACTCCTTTGCAGTCTGTTTTGCATTGAACTTGACATATCCTACTATTAAGAATGATCTGCTGAAATCTCCTTCCATCCCAGCTCCTTCCGGATCCTCTGTAATCTTCCATTTCAGAGAGCTCAGGTTGAACAAATGGAAGGCCATATTTTATAATTATTTTGGTGTTGGTGTGACGAGAATATGTTATTGACACTTTCCTTGAGCGATGGGTCTGCTATATGGAATACACACAGATGTGTATTTATATAAGGCGGTCTAGACACAAATGCAAAAGTCTTTTGCAGTGTCTTACTTATGTGTTATGTTCCAGGCTATTAGTGGTTTTATTGAAGACACTTCTAGAACATATTAGTCAAACTAGTTCTCCTTCCCTGCTCATAGAATGGGCCGAACACCTCTGTTTCAGTGGGAAACAGAATTGGAAGGTGCAGCAGATTAGTAAACACAATGGCAATTCACGCATTAAACCCCAGAGTGACAGGGGTCAGGGACCGAACTGGTTTGTTGTGCTGTGGGTCACCTTCTCTGAATGCTAATCAAGAGAATCTGAAATGCCCACTAATGGAGAACTAATCCAGGGGCGTATAACCTCGTGATTCAAGACCTGACAGAAGCCGTATGACAAACAGCCCCATGAAAATCCAGGGGCCCTGCCTTCCCACAGGCCACACCAAATGTCCCAGCTTTCCTGGGAGATGTTTCGGTGGACTGGCGGCCAAAGTTAAGTAGCTTCTGATCTAAAAATGACTCTGGCTTTCCCATCAAAATAGGACAGCATTGACATCATCACTGACTTCTTGTCTGATGGTGCAGGCGAGAGTCTGCCCTGTGACTCAGTTCTGTGGCATATGAAGGCAGGAGAATCACCCACTTGCCTGAAGGAGACCTTTAGACCTTCTAGGAGTAAAGTGAGGTTTTATTCCCCATGTTTGCTGACGGCTGGCAGGAGCTCCACTCAGTGACCAGCTGGGCTTAGTTATTTGGGAAAACCCCAAGACATGTAGAAGATTATTTCACCTCTCAGGTAGCTGCAACTCTCCAAAGCATGTGTGAGAATCAGCACCAAAATGATACTGGCGCGTTCACTCACTGAAGCCAGATGACACACTTGACCCCAGAGGAAGGTTAGCATTGATGCTGTTCAACACACATCTTTTTGTCATCGCTGCCCATTAAAAATGATGGAGGCATTTTTCTGAACACACGTCAGTACAAAGCACTGAAATATCAAGGGCGATAATGTCAAGTTGTTGAAAAGGGCAAAACTCACTACATTCCCACTATCCAAATAAAGAAATATTATGCAGACTCGAGAGATCTCATTTCCAAAGCAGAGTAGATCAAAGAGCAAAGAAGTAGAGGATTCACAGAAGTACAGTGTGCGTAGGAACAGAAAAGGTGAAAGGATATTTCCGGAGGAGCTTATGGGGTAAGTTCTAATTATGTGAAAAACTTACCTCTGTACAATACTGCCTTGAAAAGGAAGTCGCTCACTATAATCTGTTATAAGATGGAATCCCATCGTTTATTCTCTTAACAGACTCTAGTGTGATAGATAAGCTCTAAAATCTTCTTACTAAGATATTCTTAGGCCACAGAAGGGAGTGAAATGACCTGGGAAATCAAGCCAGATGCAGACTTTGACATGGACAAAATTGAGTATAAATGAACATCCCTTGAAATCACAAGAGCCAACAACCTGAGAACAAGTAGGAACGGCAAAGGTGGCAGAGTGACTCCTGCCCGTGTTCAGTATGGGCTTTTTGTAAATGATTGAGTAGCAAGCCCTTGCCAGCACCAGTCCCCACAGCCACCCAAGTCTCCGAGCTATTGCTAGTGTACGGTGACTCTGGATCCCTGTCTGAGCCATGGAGCCTGGGGAAGATGCCCTGGCTACTTGCATCTGGGAGAACTTTAATTCCCCACCATCCACATCACTGACTTGTCAAAACCTTTGCAGAAAAAGTCTGCCTCAAGGCTAACCAAGAGGCCACAGGAATCATTTGATGGGAGATAATCTGCCATTACCAGTAAGTCGGTTACTTGACTAAGAAGAAATTACTAGGATCTTGTCTCTGATGCATCAATTCTGTGTACATTGGATTGTCTCATGTGGAAACTGAGGCAGCGTTGTCCTCTTTGGAAGAGGCAAATATCAGGTTTTGGGGGCCTTTTTGTGAGCTGGGAGGGAAGATGGAATGAGGCAAGTGTCCCCTGTTCTGACAGCATCTGTCTATGCTATTGAATTGGACCCTGGGTTGTTCCTTCATGGGTCATAATTGCATTTTGGCCTGTGTTTCTCCAGTGTGGATGTGGAACGCCCCTTCTTTCGATCACTTGCATTACTCTCTTCACTTCCACATTATTTAGGCTACCTAGATAAAAACAAAAAATGGCAGCACCGTTACTGGAAAGTATACGTTGCGGGGTGGGCGTCACCTCCCCCCTGCTAACTGCTCTCTGCCTTTGCAGGAGGATCCCACTGGAAGACATCCCCGAAGACGATGACAGGTGCTCGGCCTGGCTGCACAAGCTCTACCAGGAGAAGGTCAGTGCACTGGGTGCCGGGGGTCTGTTCATGTTGCAGCTGTGGGTGCGTCGTGCGGCTGTGTGGCAGCAGGCCTTTCTCCGGCGGGCGAGACCTCACAGAGCCGGTTATTAATGAGTCCGGAGCTGACCCTCTCTTGGAAATAAAGAACATAGCCAAATTTTTTTTTTTTTTTTGAGACAGAGTCTCGCTCTGTCACCCAGGCTGGAGTACGGTGGCACGATCTCGGCTCACTGCAAGCTCCGCCTCCCAGGTTCACGCCATTCTTCTGCCTCAGCCTCCTGAGTAGCTGGGACTACAGGCACCCACCACCATGCCCGGCTGATTTTTTGTATTTTTAGTAGAGACGGGGTTTCACCGTGTTAGCCAGGATGGTCTCGATCTCCTGACCTTGTAATCCACCCGCCTCGGCCTCCCAAAGTGCTGGGATTACAGGCGTGAGCCACCGCGCCCAGCGCCAAATATTTTTTAAGGAGGGTTCACACACACACACACACAAGGAAGCTATTCTACAGGTGGAGTGGACCAAGAAAGAAGTAATGGCCCCAGTAGCCCCTGCTCGTATTTTCCTGCCGCTGGTCCTAATGCAGAACATGCTTGTGGGGTGGATATTCTCCGTAGCACCGGACATGGGCTTGATTGCTTCTGGATCAACAATTTGGTTGTTCGTCTGATCTCAAAACATCTCCAGAAGCAGCAGGATAAAGCCCTACATGGGTCCACCTTGGTCTTGGCTGGGTTTGAACCTGCTATGGTGCCCCCTGTCCTGTTCCTGTCTGTGTTCCAGTTCCCCAGGGGCCCCCTACTTATTCTGTCCTTTCTCTGAGCAAGGCCTTTGCTTTCACTGGTATTTCTCCTCCAAAAGCATATGCAAGCAGGGGAGTCTCGTAACTACTGGATCTTATGAAGGAGCGAAGCTTAGCTTCCACTTGGTGAGAAGAGCATTTTTATGGCCAGGTCTCATTAACCAGTAAAAAATTATTTCTGATTCACCACATGTTTTAAACCCAAACAAGTCATTCCCTAGAATCAGATATATTCTCTAGGATTCTGATGACCTTTTCCCCTAGTTCCATGCATGCAGGCTGGCTGACATGGGTTCTGTTTTTCTCTGTTCCTCAAAGGAGAGAATTACCCAGAGCTTTGCAGGATGTCCTCTGCAGCTGAATAAGAACTTTAACCCTACCTACTCTTGAGGATGTGTTAGGATTTTAGTCCACAAGACTCTTAACAGACTCTAGTGTGATGGATAAGCTAAGTTTGCCTCCTTTAGGCAAATCGTAGTCCAAAAGACTTGCCATCACATTTGGTAGAGAAGCTCTTATAAGTTTGCTCTGAATCAAGATCCTGACACCTTTTTTCCCCGATGATGCCTTTATACCATCACTGCACAGAGCTGGCCACGTGGGCCTCTTTCCTATGTGGGTTATGGGCATAGCTCTCTGGTCTCCCCTTACAAATACACAAATTACAAATTCTGTGTAGGAACTCGTTTACCTTGTCACTAGAGCATGAGTTGTGCAGATTCCTGGGCGCAAACCCCAGTGATTCTGTCTCTGCAGGTTAGAGGTGGAACCTAGAAATGTGTACTTCTAGCAAACTGCTTCTGATGCAGATGGCTTTGATGGAGGTGGTCTGGGGCCTGAAGCTTTTTAACAACAGTATTCTAAGTTATCGAGGTCTGCGCTGATGCAAATGTGTGCCCTAACAGAGAAGCACAAAACAGTATGAATTCCCCCCTTCTGTTTTCATGCATGAGGCAGTATTTTTCTTGCTCTGTTTTCTGGTCTAATCATTGAGGTAGCATATAAAATGTTACTTCTTTTTATGGAGACGGAGTCTCGCTCTGTTGCCCAGGCTGGAGTGCAGTGACGCGATCTTGGCTCACTGCAAGCCTCGCCTCCCAGGTTCACGCCATTCTTCTGCCTCCCGAGTAGCTGGGACTACAGGCGCCCGCCACCACGCCTGGCTCATTTTTTGTATTTTTAGTAGAGACGGGGTTTCACCGTGTTAGCCAGGATGGTCTTGATCTCCTGACCTCGTGATCCATCCACCTTGGCCTCCCAAAGTGCTGGGATTACAGGTGTGAGCCACCGCACCTGGCCTAAAATGCTACTTTTAGCAGAAAGAAGAGTATGCTAAGAAAAGGTTTAGAAAATGAGCCTCTTTTGTAAAGAGCCACACAAACAAATCTACAATAAATGTGGGCCCTCAAATCCATCAAGGCAAAGGAGATTTTTCTCAATGGGCCCTTCCTCTCCTGTATTCAGGCAGAACTGTGGTCATCATGGAAACCAAGAGGCACATCTCCTTCTTGTTAAAGTCTCTTAGGGCGTTTTCCTCTAAACTATGTTTACATTTAAATGATAGTGTTCAACTTGAAAGGGTTCTCAAAATGATCATCTACTCCAAAGTTCTTACACTACTGCTGAGGAAGTTAAGGTCCGCAGGATGAAGTGATTTACCCAGTTTTCCAGCTCACCGATCAAAGCCAGGTGCTGGAGCCCAGGCTATTTCTCTATCCGTGCAGGGCTGGGACAACACTGAGTTCTCTAAGCAGTATGTGTCTGTGAGCGGACCTGGGAGGCTGGCCCTTTTCCCTTCCGAGAAGATCGCTGAGCAGTAAGCGGAAGTGTGCATGGTTCCTCCAAGCAGAGTGGTGAATAGACGTCAAGGGACAATTCCTTTCTATATCAGCCTGTTTTGCTAGGAGCCTAGATCTAAAGCTTTACTTGCCCCAAATCTGGGTGCCCCACCAAGCTTGTCAAAGTAGAATTTCATTTTAATGATCACCCTTTCAGTCAGAAGTGTGCTGTATGTCAAAAGACAATTCTGTTGATTTTGACCTTGGGATTTTAGGGCAGTAGTTCTCTGACTTTTCAATTTCATGGGCAGGTAAAGTTTCTGGAAAATGGGAGGGGATGGCAGGCAGCCAATAGAGGTGTGCCAACATTCTGGTCTTTCCAAGCATAAGAGAAACTCGCCACCTACCAGTGACACAATTATACTCTTTAATATGGGAAAGGCATCATCTCTGAAAACAGGGCCATCCTTTGAGTTGACCTGATTTAGCTTTATGAAAAATGCACAATATTTCTTGCTTGTCAGCATTTGGGACTCCTGTTGTTTGAAGGCTTTGAGAAACCATTCATGACCTTGTGTGATCTTCTGTGGAAGAAGCAGTTCCCAAATGAACTTGCTCTCAGGCTGAACCTACAACCTCAGAACCCCTTGTTTCCAGGGAGGTCACAATAGCTATCATGGTTTCTTAATTGTATGGGGTGAACAGATTCCAACTTTTCATTTCTAACTTAAAGTCCTTCTTCAGGTTGTAATTTGACATGTGCAGAAGGGACTACAAATTGGCCATTAATGGTGCACCTTAAGGAATAGGTGAGGCTGGGCACAGTGGCTCCTGCCAGTAATCCCTTTGGGAGTAAGCACTTTGGGAGGCTGAGGCTGGAGGATCACTTGTGGCCAGAGGTCGCCCACGTTTGTGACCAGTCTGGGCAATGTAATGAGAACCCCCGTCTACAAAAATAGCTTACAAGTTAGCTGTGCCTAGTGGTCCGCACCCGTAGTTCCAGCTACTGGGGAAGCTGAAGTGGGAGGATCACTTGAGCCTAGAAGTTCAAGGTTACTGTGAGCTATGATTGCGCCACTGCACAGAGTAAGACCCTGTCTCTAAAGAGAAATAAGTGAAAAAAAAAAGCTACATTCAGAGCCGTCTTGTGGAGGCCAAGGTCGGAAGCAGCTCTGGGTGGGTGCAGAGCTCGGAGTGCAGGCATGGTGGCCCGTGGAAAACACTGTGCAGTCCTGCTCTAGCCTTCAAGGACAATAACCATTTTTGGGACTGGCAGTTGTTTTTTCATTTAAACTGTAAGGGTGCTGCTCTTTAGAAGGGCAGCAGGGAGCCTCAAGGCTTGGCCCCCATGGTAAGTCCTTTGCAAGTCCTGGCCGTGCACTCGGGTGATCTCCGCGCGCTGAGGCCAAGGTTTGCGAGTGCTCCTCACAGAGCCTCTCTCTGCCAGACTTGCTGAGGAGCCACTTCTTCCTTTCTGTTCCCCAACTTTCTCTTCTCTTCTTTGTTCTTTCCTGTTCTTCCTCCCCTCCTTTTCTCCCTCCTTTCTTCTCCTTAATTCTGCCCTAAGACACAATTTCTTTGCTGAGCTGAGTGCCTGGAAAAGCTGAGCGGGTGTGCTGATGTACGAGTCTTCCTCCTGCACACCTCCTCCCCAAAATGCCTTTGTCGCGGCGCTGCCGGGGGTGGTTTGTGTCGCGGGATCCGCCGCCTCTCAGTAAGGATGACTCGCTCCTGCTTTCAGCTGTGGGTTGATGCTCTTTCCCTGAAACAAACGAAAAAAGTGTTGGAGAAACCAGGAAGGACAACAAATAAAACAAAGACAAACATGAAGGGCCTGTAAACAAAAAACAAAAACACAACAAAAGGAAGAACTCTTATTCGTTCAGTGAATAACGTTTCGCAGTTATCCAAACTTATACCTGTGCCCACTCGTCACACGCGCGAACACAAAATCACCTTCCTGTGGGCATTTTATTACGCAAAAATGGGCCATGACGCCAAGAATCGGGACATGGACCACTTCTACTGCGGAGGTCCTAGGAATTGGCGGAGCTGGCGGATAGCGTTCTCATCGCGGACAGGTTTGATGGGAAAGAACTGCGCAGGCGGGCATGTCAGGGTGGGCCATTAGGGGAGGGGGGGCGAGAGAGAGGAACATATGTTTTAACCACCACACAAAACATTTCGTGCGAAATACGGGCTGGGCGGAAGTGGCTCACACTAATAATCCCAACCACTTTGGGAGGAGAGGGGGAGGATCAAGCTGGAGGCAGAGAGTTCAGAAGCTGCAACATGGTAAAACCATTTCTACAAATTAGTGGGCATAGATGGCAGGTGCTGTGAACATGACCTAGGTTTCCAGGAGGTGAGCGGGAGAATCCACATGAATGGCGCTGTGAGTGAGTTGCCAGTGAGAGAGATCATCCCATTCAGCCATACCAGCCTGTGCGACAGGAGTGAGACTCTGTCTTCAAAAAAATAAAAAAATAAAAGTGAATGGGAAGTTCTGACAGTTCCTGCGGGCTCCCTAGAAAAGGGCGAGTGAGGCTTCTTGCCCTCTTGCAGGGTGGCAAATAAAAAATTTGAATTACGCAAATGTCTTTCTGGAAAACAGAGAACAGAAAGAGGTGAGTTCCCGCTTTGTTGATACTTGAACTATAAAAAAGCACTAAATAAACGACTGTTAAGGAAAATAATCATTCAAAAAGGCAACATTTGCATCATTTTAAAATGGGATGAGGTTCCTGTAATGGGCATGTAAAATGACACACTTAAGAAAGCTTTTTTTTTTTTTTTTTAGAGAAAACAAGGCGCACAAAATATGCACCCCCCCCTCATTTCTGAAGTTAAATGTCCGAGGTGCCCTGTGGCCCCCAACCTGGGGAATAAGAAAATCACCCCGTTCTGGTGTGCAGGCGAGCTGCGCTCGGAGCTTCTACACCTCGGCAGCAGTTCGGGTTGGCCACCTCTAATGGGCAATTGCTCCTGGTCATGAGTGCTCACCCTCCCTTGTCTCCCCCACCATCTGATCACTCTCACTGCTTGAGGGTGGGAGTGCTTGGCACACACATCGATTTTTCTTCAACTCTTGATGATGTGACTTCCCCTGAGAGCCCCCACGGCTTCCCTTGGCCGATGTCCAAGAGCAGAGTCACGCGACAAGTGACACTTCAGACCAGGCTTGTTAATGGGCTGCAGGGGGCCGAGGGCAGAGCAGAGGCACCTGAACTGCCCAGGGAAGGGGTTGGGGGTTCTCCTTCCAAAATGGCCTTATTAGTGTGTGGACTAGTATGAAAAGTGACTCTGAGAGGCCAAGAAAGCCTATGATTCAGTACACCCTGAATGGAAAAGAAGAGAAGTATGAGATACTTTAGACTTTTCTATCTCAAATTGTTAAAGGAAAATATTCAGCATTTAAGGTAGTATAAGTTTCAATTATATGGAAGCTCATTTTTCAGAAAATTCAACTCCTTAGAGAACTGGGACGTTACTAGGCTAGTTCACGGGACACAAACTGGGCCTCACCGTGACCCACACCTGTTTTTGTGTGGCGTGCATGCTATCAGCCATGTGCAGCTTTTACAATGGCTGAGGCAGCCGCCCACAATACAACCCGGGCAACTCCCTGTGGCTGCCTGGCTCAGCTCTGCTCCCTGGAGGTGGCTCCTGCCCTGGTCCCCCCTCACGGCCAGGACCTGCCCTTAGATGGGCCAGTGGGAATCCTGGTGCCACAGCCCCTTGTTCCCCCCAGGTCCTGGCTCAGCCCAGCTCCCAGCCGCTTGAGCACTCCTGCTGACTGTCGGGTTCCTGGGTCCCTACCTTATGTCCGGCAGCTCCTTGTGGCTGAGCCCCAGTCCCTAAGCAGGAGCTCCGTGACATGAGACACCCAGGGAAGGGCCACCACGTTCTTTTGCAGTGCATTTACGTGGGGCCGAGAGTCCCCTGTTCTCACCCAGGGACTGCAGGGAGCGCCATGAGGGCTCTGGAGTAGCTGCTCTGCAAGCTGCTCGTGACACACACACCCTGGGGGTGGACGTGGACGAGTGCGTGGTTCCCACTAAGAATCTGCTTAGTGGAAGGACGTGAGCCTGTTTACCTTTTCCACGGTCTGACGGTCACTTAAAAGAGTCACCCTGGATACCCAGTCCTGAGTTTGCTGTCACCTCCGAGAGCCATACCCAGCAGCCCACAAGCTTTTGTCATTCATGATGCCTTGAATCACGGCCCTCAGAGCCCTCCAGTGGCCAACAGGGTGGTAGGTGTGGGTGGGCTGCCCCGCAGGAGCCGAGGTGAACTGGCTGTGGAGGCCAGGAAGGCAGGGCATGTGCCGGGCCGGGCTGTGTGGCGAGCTCCTCCTGACTGCGGGTTGGGTCTCCACAGTGTCCCCTGTGGGCAGCTTCGGGGCAGCAGCCACTCCATTCTCCCGCCGACCTGTCGTGGAAGGCACTGCTGCCCCATCAGACACACTGGGGCCTGGGCTCAGGGATGCAGGCACCTGCCCACAGAGGGTGGATCCCAGCTCCAGCCCAGGCTGGCCTGGCGCCAGGCCTCATGCTGCACACCCTGCACTCAGTGACAGCTGCAGCAGCCCTGCCACTCCCAGTGCCCCTGTGGGAGGGGCGGCCAGATGCAGCATTGAGAAGACAGCAGCTGCCTACAAAGTGCTTTCTGGAAGGAGCCACAGACCCCAGTTCTGCCGAGCCCCCGTGGCACCCGTGTATCTCTGCGATGTATCTTGGAAGCAGGGCCTCGGGAGGGACCTGCCACTGAGCCCTGTGTGGCGTCTGAGGGTCCTCTTTCCTGTCCCCCAGGATGCCTTTCAGGAGGAGTACTACAGGACGGGCACCTTCCCAGAGACGCCCATGGTGCCCCCCCGGCGGCCCTGGACCCTCGTGAACTGGCTGTTTTGGGCCTCGCTGGTGCTCTACCCTTTCTTCCAGTTCCTGGTCAGCATGATCAGGAGCGGGTCTTCCCTGACGCTGGCCAGCTTCATCCTTGTCTTCTTCGTGGGTGAGTGGAGGGCAAGGGGCTGGTGGGTGCTAACAGCACCACCCTGGGAGAGGTGGCATCAGGGCTGGGACAGAGGCCATCTGTGTAGGCAGTTGTGCCATGGATGAGGAGCAGGCTCAGCTTGCAAATCACAGGGAAAAATTAGACTTCAGGATGAGTACGAGGCCCTCGAATACCAGGCCCAGGAGCCACTCTGCAGCCTGGATGGTCCAGCCTCCCACCTGGGGCTGGATTCCACACGTTCCCTCTTGGGTGGTGATGTAGCTGCCACTTCCACTCCCCGACAGCTGCGAGTGCTCCCTCCCCGTCCCCTGCAGACAGCTCTGCTCACTGGCATCATTTCCTGTTTCTGAAGAAAGCCCTGTGCTGGAGGCCGGTGGGGACGTAGGGGCAGCTCCCTGCCTTCCTCTGGGGGCGCCTGTGGCTTCTCCTTTGCTACAGGTGGACGACACTCAGTGGAGAGCTTGCTGACAGAGCTTTTCACGCATCTGCGCTGGCCCCAGGTGACCAGGATTCTCGGGCTACTGCTGCTTCTTGGCACCAAGCCTCTGTGCACCCTGCTCCTTGCCTCTGTGGTGGGGCAGCCTGTCGTGCCTGCTTCCTGCCCTGTGAACAGCAGGCCCGTGCTTCCTGGAGCCAAGGAAGACTTCGGGGTTTCCCTGTGAAAGGCCCCATCTCCCCAAGCCTGGCATCCTCTCTGAGGCTTTGGAGAGCCCGGGAGAGATGGCACATTGTCCAAGCACACAGAGATCGTGTGCTGCTTTCAGATGGACAGGTCTCAGTTATTTTCTGTGAAACACAAAGATGCGGTATGCTCACTATAAAAGGCCCAAGCAATATGCAAGCGCAGAAAATTGAAAGTGTGTCACAACAAAATTCCCATTGAGCCTAATTCCCAGATAATCGTTAATGACAATTTGGTGCACATGCTTTTTCCAGCCTCAAGCAAATGTAAATTCCTATCAGTGGAGTTTCTTCAACTCGCCTTTTCACCTAATGAATCATAACCACCAAAACAGGTCACAGCACATAAACCTATCTCATTCATTCCGACTGACCTAACCAATTCTAGAGCATGTGGTTGCAGTAAACAAGCTGGCTCCTGTGCCTCACACAGACCCTACTAGTCTTTTGAAAAATTAAGATGCATTTTAATATTAAAAATTAAAATATTAACACCCACACCTTGTAAGGAAAAAAAATAAGAGGATGGAGAAGAAAGCACCTCATCTCCTTAAGGCAGGCCTGGGGGCACCCCCATCCCCTGCCATGCTGCTGAGGCTGGCCAAGGGTCCCTGGTAGGGCGGGGGCAAGCTCAGCCCTTCTCTTCAATAGCAGGCAACAGCAAGGCACACACAGACCCGTGTCCTCTTGGACAGGCCCCTTCAGGATGAAGGCTGCAGACAGGGCCACCCAGGTGTGTAGCGAGTACCAAAAGAAGAAGCCTGAGCACTGCCCAGGGTGCAGTGTGGACACAGGACGTCTCCAGGAGCATCTGAGGAGCTGACTGCCCCGCCCCATCACCCTGAGCCTGCGCCTGACTGCATTCTGCCCTGAAGGGCTTTGTGTTTGTGTCTTACTCCTCTTCGAAGGCCACAGGGTTCACGTTTTACTCACTTTTTTTCTGCTCTACAAGAATTCCACTCCCACTGCTACTGTTACACTCCACGCAGGAGTCCTCCCGTTTGTAAATGACTCATGGGAGATGCGTGCCTCCTGCTGGCTGGGCTGGATTCGCCCATCCCAGGCTCTTCCATCCATGTCCCAGTTTATCGACCACGATGCTAATGCTAGGTAACCCTGTGGATCATGATTTAGGGGATTTCATTCACTTATTTGTCTATCCATTCTTAAACATTTATTATAAACGGACTGTTTTCCAAGCCCCATGCCCAGTGCTGAACACATCAAATGATTACGTCTTGGGCCCTGCACCCAAGGACCTCACCAAATCTGCCCTCTCCAGAGGGAGTAGTTGAAATTGCAACTTCTGAGCATTGGGCCCTGCTTTCCAGCTTCCTATATGAAACTGGGCTCCCACGAAGGTCCTGCCCATTCTCTGGTGTAGGCAAATCCTGCCGTCAGAGGGAAGGGCGGGGATTTTCTCACTGCTGTAACACTTGCACCAAAAGCAGTGCTGAAACTCGTTGGGCACTCTGTACTCGAGCTCTTGCATCTTCCAGGCTCCTGGTCTGCTCTTTATAAAACTTCGCCAAACATGCCCTGTTAAGTTCCTGCCCCTCATTCACAAGAGAATCCTCTTTACCTGGGAGCCAGCAGAGGAAGCCAGGGATTTCTCTGAGTCCCTGTGAACAGCTGTGCATGGCTTGCCAAATCGTTCACCTTCAGGGTCCAAGGAGGAAAACCCCCACCAGAGCAGCCTTGCTTTTTCTTAATGTCACACAGATGTCCACACTCAAGGATGACTGTAAAGCTGGGAGGACGATGTCCCCTCAGACCCGCCAGCTCCCAGCTGGTGCTTGTGATTTGTGGCCACGGACCTTCTCACATGCTCTGTGGGCAAATGGGCCTGTAGTCTGTTCGGGCTGCTCCTAAATCTGCTCTCCTTGTCTCTGCAGCCTCCATGGGAGTTCGATGGATGATTGGTGTGACGGAAATTGACAAGGGCTCTGCCTACGGCAACTCTGACAGCAAGCAGAAACAGAATGACTGACTCAGGGAGGTGTCACCATCCGAAGGGAACCTTGGGGAACTGGTGGCCTCTGCGTATCCTCCTCAGTGGGACATGGTGACAAAGGCTGGGTGAGCCCTGCTGGGCACGGCGGAAGTCACGGCCTCTCCAGCCAGGGAGCCTGGTCTGAAGGCCGGATGGGGAGGAAGATGTTTTGTAATCTTTTTTCCCCCATGTGCTTTAGTGGGCTTTGGTTTTTTCTTTTTGTGCGAGTGTGTGTGAGAATGGCTGTGTGGTGAGTGTGAACTTTATTCTGTGATCATGGAAAGGGTATTTTAGGCTGCAGGGGAGGGCAGGGCTGGGGACCGAAGGGGACAAGTTCCCCTTTCATCCTTTGGTGCTGAGTTTTCTGTAACCCTTGGTTGCCAGAGATAAAGTGAAAAGTGCTTTAGGTGAGATGACTAAATTATGCCTCCAAAAAAAAAAAAAAAATTAAAGTGCTTGTCTGGGTCATCTGTGGTGTATGTTTACATAGACCGCTGCCCCTCCATCCTGCCCTTGCCCATGGCTTTGGTGTTTCAGATCCTGCCCACAGGAGGCAGCAGCCGCGGAGGTGTGGGCAGTTGAGAGGGGTGGGCGGCCAGCACAGCTCCTTGTAGGAGACAGGTCCAGGTGCCCATGAGCATTTATGAGGGCAGAGATGGCAAGGACGTGCGTGGAGACCAAGCGTGTCCCTGGCACACAGCAAGGGAGAGGCTCGCTAGGACTCTGCAGTGCAGTCTCCCAGCCTAAGTCTTGCCCAACTCCCTGAGGAAACTGATCTTGAAATTGAACATAAACGTCATGAACGTATAGCCTGGGCACTCTAGTGATTTGTGAGATGAGCTTGCATCGACTGTTCCTCTCAGCAGTGACAGCCAAAGTCACCCCTAATAAAAGGCAGGTTCACTTTATAAAATGCCTCGCCCCTTCCCAGCATGTAGCGCTTGTCTGCAGCCCTAAAGGAGCCAGGTCCTGCTCTGATCAGGGTCAAATCGGAGCCGACATCCATGTACAAAAATCCCCCAGGCCTCTGCCTTCCTTCCGGGCTCCTGTCCGCTCCCATTTTACGCCATGGAAGAGTTCCGCCAGGAGCATCTCCAGTGGCCTTTGCAGACTGCCGTCAGCCAGCGGCTGCCAAAAATGCAAAAGAAGAAGAAACGAAAAGCAGTGCTATTTTTGCAGAACAATTAAATACTAGCTATTAAGTCATCTTAGGCCAAAACACCAAAGGCACTTGGACCGGTGGGTATTTGGAGCATGAGTTAGGCAGGATACGTCTTTCCCCGGTGTGCAGCTGCAAGTTGCCGAGAAAAACTGCCTGTGTTGCCGTGGTAACAGGAGAAGGAATGAACCGCTCCATACAAAAACTGGCCAAACATTATAAGGCCTATTCTACGCAGTCATGTTTTTGGCTATTTGCTCATTTAGTCATTAAGTGTTTACCAAGCACAACCAAACTAGATAAGCCAAGGAGTTACGAGACAGCTCTAGAGACGTTCCCTCTGCTTACAGGACAATAATGCATTGTTGATACAAATGAATTCGAATCTGCAGAAGTGAAAAACAAATCCTGGCTGACTTGTGGGAAGAGCTGACTGCAGAGCCCAGGGCTTGAGTTAACCAGCTTGCGGCCCTGCAGGCAGGCTTGATGGGAGCGCCCAGCACATCTACCCATCCCACACAGGGACATGAAGCACCGTGTGCAGACATCTGTGGGCAAAAGCCCAGGACATGACCTTAGGCAAGAGGGGCCCTTGGAGAAGTGGAGGTGTGCATGGTGCATAGCATTGTGTGTCTGTGAACATGCCCTGGTGGGCCTGTGCCTGGATTATCAGGCCAGTCGCTCGGGGTCCATGATGCTGAACTCTGCAGCTCATTGGCTGTAGGATTTGGGTGAGACACTTTTCCTTGCTGACTTAATTTCCCCGTCTGCAAAATGGGGCTGATGATATCTACCTCTTGGGGTGTGTCAAGGGTAAAAGAGACACACTTTAAGAATCCTAAAGCACTAAGCCAAGGGTGAAAGACAAGAAAGCTGCCTCTATGTTGCTACTTCTCAAAAACGCTCAGAAATTTTCCTGCCGTACTAAAAATGTGTTATTTTTCTCATCGTCATTCTTCCACTCAACACAGAGGTAATCTAAGTTCTCAAAACATAGATCCAGGGGCCCATAGACATTCAGTTTTCTTCTGAGTTGGCTCTGGTATCACACAAAACACAAGCAAGCAAACAGGCTGCCTGCTAGGGCCTTGGGTGCCAGGCTGGAGGAATGCAGGCAGAATTCTCTTAGGAAATAACTAAGCACTAAGTTCTGAATTGCCTTAGAGCCGAAAGAGAATGTGGCGTGCTGGGGAGGGATCTGGACCTCTTTCTCATCAGTCATTTGACCTGTCCACAAAGAACCATGTTGTTATGCGGCCTGGGAACCTGGTTTCCTTCCACCCTGCACCCTTAATGACACAGACAACCACGGGTACTCCTGGACAGAAGCTCATCACTCCTCCTCTGGTATCTTCACCCATGTTCAGGTCACACGGAGGTCACCATCTCCTCAGCAGAGAACTGCTTTGGTCCCCAGGGTGTTAGTTTTTCTACGAGGTGAAAACCCATGGAGCTTAAGCCATCTTTTTGTCCCCTAGGTAGAGCTCCACAGACTAACAGCTACACTTCCTGTCTTTTCCACCTTTCCATCTCATTCTGGCTTAAAGCTTATCGCACTACTGAGAGCCTGTTCTGTAATTCAAGGTGGCAGAGAAAAATACGAACCTTGAGTGAAATCTGGAGAGCGATGCAGGGTCATCCCCAGACATGAAGGGCCATATCCTAGGCAACTCCTGCAGCTTATAGAGGCAGGGAATTTAATGGACTTCTTCCAGGAAACGCAGCCCTCGGGGACTCTATTAAAAGACACCAACCATTCGGAAGATGCAGCTTGAGGCCTGGAGGACTGGACTGATTCTGCCACTATAAAGTGAACATGATTAATCGGGAGGAAGAAGTAAGGCACTCTGAGTTAGTCTTCCACCCTGTTGACTTTGACAGAGAGAAAACCAACTTTTTTCATATGATCACACAGTAGTACTGGAGTATTTCTTGACTGCTGTATTCCCTAAACAAATGCATGCAAAGCCTTGTAAAAGTAGCTGATGATTAAAAGAAAGTTAAAACATTAGGGTTTTTCTAATATATCCATATGTGGGACAGTGATTTAAATGTCATCAATTGTCCAGTCAAAACTTGTAATAGTTGATGTGAAAGACACAAAGAAGGCCCCACTGGAGTGGAGGAGTGGTCTGGCTGGTCCCCAAGCAAAACAGAATGGGCTTCGCATAGGCTTTAGAACTTATTCGTAAATATTGACCAAAGTGTGATGAAAGGTATCCAGTGAAGATTCTCTAGGGTCCCTACTCCTGCTCAAAACAAGAGATTTAATCCAGCTTTCTCTAAAGCAATGGTCCAGACTTTTCACATACTTACCAGGTTAAAGAGAAAATAAAAACAAATACTTTGGTTTGCACGTCTCTTGAGGGGCCCTAGGCTGTATGGAGGAATATTTAGAGGAATATTTGTGACCTGCCATTTGTGTTTAAAAGAACATGAAAGCAAGACAGGCCCTAACCAGCCTGTGTCTGTAGCTGACCAGGAGGCCACTGCTTCCTTCCCCCAGAGCTTCAAGGAAAGCCCCCCCAAAATGCAACTCTCCAAGGTCCTGTGGAGTAGTCCCCTCATAATGCCTCCATCACACCTGTGTCTTACGATGCCTTAATTGACGTAGCTCCTAAGTGATGTTTACAGAGAAGGAAATACTAAGCAAGCCCACGCGCAACACGCTCACAGTGTGCTAGCTTTGCCATGCTTTCTGACTCTTCTGGTCCTAGTCACACCTCGGCGCAGGGGGCAGAAGCGGCCGAGCTATGCCGACAGGTGCTGCTGAGAGCGAGCAGCCGTTCAGCTGAGAAGGCGTTTCTCGGTGAGGGCACGTGAGCTGGCATTCCAGGCTGCTGAGGGCTGCATCTGCAGGTGCACTGCGTTGCTCCACGGAGTGTTCAGAAGAGACCAGCATCTTGAATTTCAGGCTCTGGGCTCGTTCTTTGCCTCTGCCAAGGGACCATTAAGGGGCTTCAAGCCAGCTGCTGAAATTGCCGCTTTTCTGGATTCCTCCCCATCTATATAAGGATATGGTAGCTGTGTGGACAAGAAATTGGTTGCATCTCAGAAGGGTGTTTCCCTACAAATATCTTCAGGAATTTAACTGAAAACAATTTTTAGAATTTTTTTTTTTTTTTTTTTTGGCCAGTATGAATGAAGCTGAAGTCACATCCTGAATGCGCATGCTAGACAAAGGGTAAGCAAGCAGTCTTTACAAACACCAATCCCTCTGCACTCCAAAACCGGAGTCCATAATGAAGGCCCAGGGCGCAGTCATCACGGAATCCCCTAAGCCAGCACGGGGCCTGATGCCTCTCTAGGCATTAGCACATCCCAGCGCTGGAATTCACATCCTCGGCGTCCCCGCCTCCTGCATCCAGGGCTTCGGTTGAGCGTTTCCGGAGTGTCGAGTACATTTAAACATAAACCAAATACTCCAGGGTTTTGACCTGTCACAATGGCTTTTGAAAACAACAGACGTACAACTTGAGAGAAGGACTTGATGGACTTCTTAGGCCGAGGACTAAGGACACGTTGCTGTTCCTCTTGGTCCAGGACATTCAATACCATTCACAGCATTCGTCACCAACTGGCACAGTATCGATCACGGCATTCAACTGTTTGAAATTACTGCTATTTTGGTCAAAAACTAAGAAATCAGAAATTGCACCTACACAGTGTGTCTCCTCATTGGAGTCCCATCTCTGAGCACAGGGATGGGTTCCTGAGCTCATGGCCCCGCCCTGCACCCCAGCAGGGACCTCCGTGAATAGTGACTGCACGAAGCGGGCACTTACTAGAGGCCTGAGTAATGGAATGTCAATTCGCTTCTGCTTCCCTTTTGTAAAAAGGAACCACCTTTCTTAAGAGTAATTAGGCCAAAATAAACTTGAGTACTTTGCACAGTCAATACTTTGAAGTTTCAGAGTTACCAGTGAAATAGCAAAGCTGTTCTCTGGGAAAGGACATCCAGGTTCCCACCCAGGGCTTCCTCAGCTCCTGCAGCCTCATCCTAGTTTAATATGAAGGTTGTGAATGGGTTAAAAAGCAGTTCTTAAGCACCTACTTAGATCCTTTTTCAGTATCTGGAAAGAGCACCCAGGGCTGTGTTAGTAAAGCTTTTCACTGGGTAAGTCATACAATTTTTACATTTAATTTTTTGTTTTTTAAACAAAGCAGTCTTGTTTTACATGTTGGAATGACTAGATATTTTTGACATTTCTGGCACCTCTGGTTCTGTTGAATTTTAAGGGAGGTGAGTGGTACGTCCACAAAGTTAAGATTGCTGCATAATAATTCCTTTGCATTTCCAAAATAAATT